GACCATGGCAGGTTCACAAACACAAATGCGGGGTGGTGTGGAAAGTTTCACAATGCTAAGATGTCATGTAGTCTGTGACAGTTACAGCACTTGGACAGAATACAAACTCTCTCATTATATTGTATGACAGCAAGAATAAACAATGATCTTAATGCATCATTACTCAGCAAGTCCTGTAGTATTAAGAAAATGATGTAATTTCAAACATCAGACAAGATTTTTGTTGGCCTCAAACACATTTCAGCATGTTGGAAAAGATTTTTCAATGCCTTATCCTTCCTTATTTCCATACAATTCCATTCAACACTATGGATTTATCCACCCAGACCACTAGAGTTTTAGTTTAAAATAAATGCAAGTGAATATACAGTAGAAAAACATTTTGCTTAGACCTGTGCAAACCTGAGAGGATTGTTTGGTGCATGCAAATTTGACTCTTCCTAAGGTATACATCAGTACTGGTAATGAACTGAAGGGCTACCTGGAGACTTAGACTATACACTACCTCAGATCCAGGCCTGGCCTTGGGGCAAGGTGAGCAAAGCGGTTGCCTTGGGCCCTGTACCTTCAGGGCCCTGCACTGTCCATAGGGCTGGGCTGCTAATGAAGGCCATGCACTTCAAAAGCTGTCATGGTGAATTCCCCAGCCCAGAGTACACACAAGCCACATGAGCTGGGCCTGACCAGCTGCCCATGAAGCTTGTGGGGAGCAGAGCAGCCTGTAGGACCCATGCCCATCCAGCAGGGGAGTTAGTTCAAGTCCTACCAGCTGCTTGGAAACTGCACAGCCTGCTGGCAGGGAGGGCACAGCCCCACTTATGGCTCTGATCTGGCCCTTCCACCTGCAGGGAGCTTCCCATGCTGCTGCTCCCTTTGCAAGGCTGCAGAAGAAGTCCCTGCCGTGCAGTTCCCTTTCTCTGGGGCTACTTCCCTCGCTTGCCAGTGTAGGGATAACATCTTAAAGTATTAAAAATGATTCCCCCAAGTGGAAGTGACTCCCCATAATTTGTTCCCCACAACTAAAAGTCTAAGTAGTATAAGTTTAAGTAGAAGAAGCATATAAGTGTTTAGATTTATTCTTGTTAAAGTGTTTAGATTTAGTGTTATCAAGCTTGATAAGTGTTTAGATTTATTATTAATTATTATTTGTTAAGATTGTTAAATGTTTACATTTATAAATTATTGCCCCTCTAGAATATAATTTGTTAGGAATGTAATATTAGGTCATGTAACTTAAAACTGTTAAAAATATAATACTATGTAGCCAGAAACAGCTCCCCTCTCTGCGTCCCAGGGCATGCTCAAACTTTTGCAAGTGGCTGCTTGTCAAGCCACTAACTCTGCTCTGGGAGCCAAGCCCTGTAATTGACTAAGGGTATTGTTCTTCAAAGCATTGTGAAGCAATTAACCCTAATCGCAAAGTGAAACATTGTAACTATAACAGTAACTAACTCAGCAGTCAGAGAGAGAATGTTTTAAGTAAGAAATGCCACCCAGAAACTTTTATAACTTTTTGTAACTACAACTCTTGTACATGTAAAATTATTATTATACAAAATACTGTATGTGAAACATTAATAAGGGAATGTATGTAAGAGAGAAAGAGTGCTTGGACAATGAATGAATGGTTTGAGAGGTGCCAGCCTGAGAATGAAACATCAAAGGGCTGAAGAAGGCGTCAGGCGCCAGTGCAACCAAAAGGTGTCAAGTGGAGAAAAACTGGAGGTCCACCCTATGAGATCACTGACAAGCACCTGGCAGCCACCCTGAAGACATCAGCATGATGCAGCAATTCCCATAGACTGGCATAGGAAGAAATTCCTATAAAGATTAGACCAAAAGACTATGGAGTCAGAGTAAAAATTTTGCTGCCAGCCCACGATTAAATTTAGTACTTTTAGCAATTTTTCAGATTTGGTTTTCTTTTTTTAAACTGTTTCATTGCATGGTTCAAAAAAGTATTTTGCAAGTGTCTACTTGCTAGGGACAGTTGCAGATTTATGACAAGAGTGTAAATGTAGCAGTAATGTTCATGTAAAGAGAGACTATTAAATGTTTAGAAGTAACTACTGGTTACATCATGTGATGAGTGTCTCCTGCTAACTAAATGGTGTGTGTGTGTGTGTGTGTGTGTGTGTGTGTATATATATATATATATATATAGAAAGGTGTATAAGGGTTAAATAGTGATAGGAATATGTAGCTAAACAACGTTGTTTGCTTCTATCTTTTCTTTATTATTATCTTTACAATAAATGTGGCTTTTTGCCTTCTCCTCCTCATAAGATCCTGCTTGCTTTTATTGGTGCGCTCCACCTACAAACTTCACCTTGCTGGCAAAGAAAACGCTGCTGGAGCCAGGGCCTTGCGGTGTTGAGTACTCACCATCCACCGGCTGGGTCCAGGGCCCCACTCCCAGCATCCTGCTTTGGGCCCTGCAAACCCTTTGGTCGGGCCTCCTCAGATCTCCACGAAGAACCCAAGCACACACATTCAAGGTGGTCTGTTCTGTGCTAGAAAAAGGATCTGTTGTTGACTGGTGCCAGGATAAAGTGCAGCTGAATTAACGCTGAACATGGCTCAGCTGCAAGTGTTTGGCAGGCAGACCGCTTTCAGCTCCATTTCAGAAATGGAGGCACAACAGCTGAGCCTATGTCTGGCAACCACAATCTACAATAGGTCTTTTTTTCCCTAGTGTAGACTAGGTCCCATAAACCAACCTGTGCTGGGGATGTTGGGAAGAAAAACACCAGACAAAAAGAGGAAAGAAGTTGGGCCTCTATTATGGTGTCTGAAAATTTTCCATGCATCTTGCAGAGATTTTAGATTCCTAACATCTAACATCTTAGATGCCTAACATTCCTAATTTCTAACATTTTCCTCACTCAATTTAAGCTCATTCCTTCTTGTCCTGTCCTCAGTGATAAAGGAGACAAAATAATCCTTTTCCTCTTTATGACAACCTTTTATATATTTCATATATGACATTTTATATATGACAATATTTTATATATATTGCCCTTCTTCAGTTGTCTCTTCTCCAGACTAAACAAATCCATTTTTTTCAGTCTTTCCTCAGGGGTCATGTTTTCCAAAATTGTATAATTTTTTGCTGGTCTCCTCTGGACTTTCTCCAAGTTGCCCACATTTTTCCCCAAGTGTGGTCCCCAGGATGGAACACAAATAGTGGAGCCCATATCAGTGCTGAGTAGAGTGGAAGAATTACTTCTCAAGTCTTGCTTACAACATTGTTGCTAATGTACCCTAAAACGGAGTGGCAACCTAAGGCACACTTGGCAATTTTCACTGGCTTGTGAGCCACCCCTCTGGATACAGGGTGCAGGGAACACTAGCCCCCGGCTCGGTGTGTTGCTATTTCTCTTCTCCCGGTTGGGACAGGGTTCATGTTAGTGTGGCACAGCAGCAACAGCCTTCCTACCCCGGTCCCTGCCAAGAATTAAGGTGCTGTGGATGCTTTGCTGGCAGGCAGCAGGAGAAAGGTGGCTTCCTGTGACACGTGGTTTCTGGAGCATTTTTCATTTTCCTGCCACCCACTGTGGC